CATATTCAGGGCATTAATGTTGCTATCGCGGTCAGGGAATATTAGGCCCTGGGGATCAATGTGAAGTTTCTCCCCATGGTCATAAATGGTATCGATGGAAGCATGGAGAACGTCCTAGGCACGGAGCTTAGCCTCCATATATACTGGACAGTACTTTTCATATTTAAGATTTGCCCGAGCTTGCTTAATCAAAGCGGTGAGGGCGCGAGAATGTCTTATAGCTGTGCGACGAGGGTATAGATCCAAGATGGCTTGCCGACAGCGGTAGCCCCATGTCAGAGGAATGTAGAGAAGATATTCTTCACAAGAAAAGGATCGGATTGAAAGCGAGAGCTCACGACCGTCCACAACTAAGCGCAGGGGTAACAATGGCAAGTGTGGCATCAACTTTGATGGCTTAGCCGGTGAGTTCCTATATATCGGACCATTCCTGGTTGCTATATTCTCAGATAGAAAATCGACATCGCGCCAGTCGATGTGAACGCCGCCTCCTTTGGGGCCTGTAAAATGAGAAAGTTGAGCATTATATTTGCTCGCACAGATATCAATGGTAGGTTCCCAGTTGGGGTGAGTCATCGTTTGCTGACATTCATCAGGGTTTAGCATTCAGGCGTTGGTATCGACGTGTATAGGGTGAGGACGATGTTGCGTGATTTAGCAAGGTTGATCATAGCTTTCCGACTGAAGTAACCGTTATTGCGGCGAAATTCGTCGTATGTCATGGTAATAGTGGTTGAGGGTTGGGGTGGGGGGTCAACAGGTGTAGGGAATGTTGCTTCAATGACAGCGCTGGGTTGGGGGAGAAGAGGTGTATGCTGAGATTTTGATGGATGTGGTGACTGAGCCGTAGCTAGATTAGTATGAGGCACTGTTGAATTAAAAGTGTCTAAATATTGAAATGCGATGTGATACAGTGATATCCGCCGTGTGCAAGGGGTATAGTGATAGTATGAGATTCTTAAAGCATAAACTCATGATGCATGTCTGGGAGTTTTTAGGGTAGACTAATATGAATAGCACGAGCGCCACGAAGACCGCCGCTGTGAGTGTGAACCCGTTATCTTGTAGGAAATTTCGGGATAGTACTTGTTGCACTAAAGGGGGACTAATGTAGGACATGCATGGCTAGGTGGGATACTATTGTCCTGTTCTTGATTTGTGTAACATATCCTGTACGATGGGACTGATAAACAGACACTGTGTAGGCGAAATTGTTCTTATTAGTGGGCTTGCTACATACTACTGCCAGGTATGCCAGGTAATTTTTACAGCTACAACTAGTGTCATTAGTACATATTAGAGAGGTGTAGTTTTGCGTTCCGTGGCAGCGTGTTGTTTATCTCCACATCATGCACATGCCTTGATGCAACGACCTGAATGGTGTTGTGTGGACCAGCAAACATAGCGCTGAAATGTGCGTGGATTGTTTGAGGTGGGTGTAGTGATCATAGCATTGAGGCGCTTGATCAATACATCGAGTTGGGCTGACATTTGGGGCGTTCAACCTATTAACTCAGGAAGTATGTATAATATTCATAGTTTCTCATACTTCAACATAGCGACAGAGATCGTGAATAAAATTGAGGTATCCCTTAGTCTGTTGCTGGTAGGAATTAGGCAGACCAGATAAAAATAAATCCTAAGCATATTCGTTAGAAGATACAGTGCCGTGTTCTCTTGCATTCCAGATCAAGAGTTTGCAACGGAAGGCCCAGTTTCGGACTGCCTCGTCATCGTCACGCTTAAAGCGTCAAAGGTAAGTATGAGTAGTATTCTTACGGTCTTTTACTGAGTGATGGTTATAGCGTCTAAATAATCAGAGAATGAAGGAGGAGCCAGGTGTGTATCAGAAGGCTGTCATTGTAAAGAGCGGGGCGGAGATGGTAGATACCTTTTGTGCGGTAGCAAATTGTGCCGCATCTACGTCGGTGGCAGCATGGTTGTCATAGTCTATGAGGGGACGAAGATCGACCGTGTATTCAATGACGACTTCTGAAAAGAAATCAGGTTTCCACGTATCATACTGGTGGCCGGATATCTCGAGGATCGTCCTTATGCATTTCGGGCTGTTTTTATCAGCGGTAGACAACATGGTGATGGTGGTGGTGTGTAGGGGATGGTGGTTGGTGATTACTGGCGTATATGTCGTAAGTAGGTATGCTTCGGGTCATTGTCGGGGGCGCTGAGAAAGGTCTGGTACTGGATAGTTGTTCACCTAAAGAATTCACTTTACAGGTAAACATATTCAGTCTACTATTAATACTCTACTTTAGTAGACAGGATGACCTAAAAATAAAGTTATAAAAATAGGATTGTTATATTATTAGAGTGTTTGATTGTTTTATTTAAAATAATAATAAATATTATGGAATTCCCGCCAAAACACAAAAGAACAAAAAAAAACTGATGATATCTAGGGTGAAAGATAAGGGTGTATTATACCCAATCGAACGTGTCGCTATAAATATATCTTCACACTCTAGCCAACGGGTCGGTCGATAACATATTCACAATCACAAGAGATTTTACTGAGAGAGAGAGGCAATGAGCAATTAAAATAAAATAAACATCCTGTACTAATATTAAATAGATGCTAAAGATCAAATTAATATTTTCGTGGACTTCATATATGCAGTGGAAAGAAATACCAGCTGCGCGTTTATGTGCATATGTGGTGTATACATACATACATATGATTGAGCAGCTCATACAAGGACATAGTGCTGTTTGGCTATAGTAGATGGTGCTTTGGATATTTCTAGCAGAGAAAGATACGTGAACGGATTCAATACCATCGTGACTAACGTGACAACGAAGTGACTTTCATCCCGAATATATAAATACACACACACACATATATATATATATA